TTTCAAAGATGGGTAACACTGCCAGCAAAATTCTAGAGAAATAGGAATTGTCTAGATGTTGTGAGTGGGACTGTGAATTGCAGTTTTTCTAACGGCAATAAAACTACACCAAAATTCAAAATGTATGCTCCTTGGTCCCAACTTTAACTTTTAGGGAGCTATCTTGTAAGGCACATTCCCATTTTATCCATCAGTATGAAATGATATCTGCATAAGGACATTTGTTGCAACATTATTTATGATAGAAAATGACTGAAAATAACTTAAAAGCTTTTAATAGGGAACTAGGTGTAGTACAACAAAATAGATTATGCAGCTGACACAAAAAGGAGGCAGTTCTCAATGCAGTGGCATGGTATGTTAAGTAAAAAGCAAGGGGCAGAGCAATATAGACAGTATGTTAACATCATATAGAAACAAAGAATAAACCTACTTAGATTCTTATAGATGCACAGAATACTTCTGGATACTTAAGGCAACAATGATAATGGTTATCACTGAATGGGGTAAAATAGGAATGAGAAACGTGATGAGATTTGTAACCACTTTTGTACCTTTCAAAAAAAATGTTCAGTATCCATTCAAAACCAAATTTTTATTAAAAATAAACTCCTCGTCTTATACCACAAGGCACAGACTAAAAAAAAATTTTAAACTCTCTACCAAAAATACCAAAAGAAGCAAACCAACTATTCTGTCATGTTTCAAGCTTAAAATTTCAGGAATGCTTATACAATCATTAACTTTAGCTGAGAAATCTCTAGAAAAATCTCATAAATTTTTCATGAAATGGGGTCTTGAGCTACCCCCAAAGTCGAATTAGCATCTTCAAACAGAAAAATAGCTTCAGGCTCCTCCCAAATAACCTCATACGGGGGAACACTGTGGCCCATTCAAGTCTGGTGCGTTATCAGCCCAAACCACTTCACTCTCTGCAAGCCACCAAGGTGCCAGGCAAATCATCCAGATTTACTTTTCCAGGCACTTTAGTTTCATCTTTGGAATGTTGCTAGTTAACCTACTTCTATTTAACCTCAGTCTGTGAGGATCCTGAGTCTCAAGTGGCGATAATCCTATGTGTATCAGGTGTTTGGATAATTCTGTAGATCTTTGGTGAAGTCTCTGAAATAATGTCTGATGGCAATAGCAGAGGAATGTCATTCTCCCACACATAGCTTTTTTACTAGGGGGAAGGTTCTTAAGAGGCAAAAAATAAAATATGGCTTTTTTTTTTTTTTTTAAATAAAATATGGAACACTTCACTAATTTGTGTGGTCATCCATGCTCAGGGCCATGATAATCTTCTCTGTATCATTCCAATTTTTAGTATATATGCTGCTGAAGTGAGCACGATGTCCAAACTTGGTATTTTATAACCTTGCTGTTGGGCCACAAATCTTAAGAACACAGTAGGTTTCCTTATGCAATGAAGGATTTTGGTCTACCAATCCATTTTTAATAAGCACTATCTACATGGTAGAACTGGCTCAAGTATTTTATTAATGTTAGTAACTTTTGGCATGGATTTATATATTCACATATAAAGATCTATTATTAAAATAATATTTAGGTATTTGGGGAAATTGGTTTAAAAAATACATTTTTCATAGTGAGGCCCCATCTCTAAAAAAAAAAAAAATTAACTAACCAGATATGGTGGGCCACACTAGTCCCACCTACTCAGAAGGTAAGAGGATCACTTGGGCCCCAGAGTTCAAGGCTGCACTGAGCTATGATGGTGCCACTGCACTCCAGAGCCTGGGCAACAGAGCAAGACCCTGTCTCTTAAAAAAAAAAAAAAAAAAAAAAAAAAAAATCCTATGTATGGATGAGGAGTGGTAAATCTTCCCACCCCTTTCCCTCAGCCTCCCAGTTTCCCTTCCCTCAGATGTCATTACTATTTACATATTCTTTGAGATATTTTATGAATCTGCAAAGACCTTTTCTGTTTTTACTGTATGCTTTAATCCAGGTTTAAAAAGCTCCCATTTCTTCACTTTTATGCAGTGTCATCCCATAAACTGACTATGACACTGGCTGTGATGGTGCTGCCATGGCCAGAGACAATCGAAGAGCTCAACATCTACAGTGCTTGGAAGAGTCTCAAGCCCACAGGGAAGAATTACTTTCCCAAAATAATAAATTATTCTAAAATGCATTAATGAGAACTCTTGATCCATCAATATTTTGAGAATAACAATCTTCTGCCTTATCTGAAAGTACATTCACACTGCATCACAGTGATTCTTAACTTTCTGCAGGGTGGAGGAGAGCCTAACACTGCCTTTGAGAAACTAAGGAAAACTTACTGGAAAACACACACACACACACTCTCCTATACACTCCCAGTAGACCACAGACATGGTTGCCTATGGACATCAGGTTATTAATACCTAATCACCCTAACAAGCCAAGATCAAGACATCTGCTGAAGAGGTTGTAACAAGGTAAGTACAAGAACAGAAGAGATGATAGCATAATCAATTAGATGTTAGGAAAAGTTCATTAATTGCTTGTCTGAAAAAAAAAATGAGTAGATGGCTGCTGAAACACTCATTTTAAATCTTAAGGTAAAATTATTTGAGAATCTGATTATGTAAAACTCAATGACTGGTGAAGCTAAATACAAAACAAAATAACATATGCTCTCTGAATTTCATCCAGATAAATGACTGCTCTTTTATTATTACTATAATCTATATGCTTATAGAAATAAAATACAGATAACTTAATTATGATCCCTTTTAGCTGCATGGCCCATCAGTTGAGAAAAAAATTAGAATGAGATAAAAGAAAAATATACTTCATTGAAGAATAAGCAAAACAAAGATAATGTGCAAATTAACTGAAAATTAACACACAAGCCCTGGGGAAACAGAGCTTCCTCAGCAGCCAACTGAGTTGGTGATGGTTTCTCTTCTACTCCTAGGACAAAGATGATACTGGATCCCTACCCATTTTAAGGGAAAAGTCTCATTCATTTTCATTCTTAAATGTTTCACTTTTTAATTATTTTTTTATGCAGAGTCTCACTGTGTCTCCCAGGCTGAAGTGCAGTGGCGTGATCTCGGCTCACTGCAACCTCTGCCTCCCAGGTTCAAGTGATTCTCTTGCCTCAGCCTTCCAAGCAGCTGGGATTACAGGCATGTGCCACCACGCCTGGCTAATTTTTGAATTTTTAGTAGAGATGGGGTTTCACCATGTTGGCCAGGCTGGTCTCGAACTCCTGACCTCAGGTGATCTGCCCACTTAGGCCTCCCAAAGTGCTGGGATTACAGGCGCGAGCCACCGTGCCTGGCCTTCACCATTCTTTTTATTTAAAAAATTATATAAAAATGTGTTTTAAATGAGCTGAACAATTTAGAATATAAATATTTCCAATTCCCCAAATGGGAAAGTGTTAACTAAGTCCATGAGGTCTCAAATGCTAGCACAAAACCTAAATATAAGCCTAAACTCTCAAATATACATGAATCTAATATAGTAGTTTCCCCTCCGTGGGACTCTGACATTGTTACCATTTTGTCTTTTTTCTTTCTTTCTTTTTTTTTTTTTGAGACGAAGTTTCGCTCTTGTTGCCCAGGCTGGAGTGCAATGGTGCTATATCAGCTCACTGCAACCTCTACCTCCTGGTTTCAAGCAATTCTCCTGCCTCAGCCTCCCAAGCAGCTGGGATTACAGGCGCCTGCTACCACGCCTGGCTAATTTTTGTATATTTAGTAGAGACAGAGTTTCACCATGTTGACCAGGCTGGTCTTGAACTCCTGACCTCAGGTGATCCACCCGCCTTGGCCTTCCAAAGTACTGGGATCACAAGCATGAGCCACCACACCCAGCCCTCAATTCCCTTTACAAAGCATTTTTCTTCTTATAGAGCTATTACTTAAGTTTTAAAGCCTTTCAACTATTCTCCTAAAAATTACCTTTAGGAACAAAAAATGGTTTTTTTAGTCATCGTTCCTTTTATTGATATCCTCTTTAAATCAAAGGGGAGCTTTTCATAATAAGAGAATTCTTAGAATAGCTTTAAGATTTCCTAACTGTTAAGCCAAACAGCAAGTTTTCTCATCTCTTAAGGAACAAAAGCCACACAGGTCTAACATGCTAGCCTGGAATGTGACTCCAGAGCGAACATATTAATTATACACATATTGTCAGAGACATGGTAATGACAAAACAATCTACAATTCATGGATACATAGGATCTCTGTGCTAACAAAAATAAAAATAAAAAAGATAAGCAAGACCAAATGTGTTGAAAATAAAAGTTATGTAAATGTTATGTGGTGATATATATGATACACGATCATGAAATGGAAACCAAACTGGACAAACAGCCTGCTCAACCATATGTTTAGATGCTAGCTTAAGAAAACGAAATGTGTACTTTCAGAAAATTCACGCAGAAATCAGTTTAAAGTTTACTTATAATTTGCTAGACCTTCTAATAAATATAGTATTTGTTATGAAGCACTGGTGAATTTCCATAATGTTGTATGACAATTGTAAAAGGTTCATGGGAAAAACAAGATTTACAAAGACATACGGTCTCTAATTAGTGTAAATTGGCAAATTTTATTTAAACCTAATGAATCCATAAGACTGGACTGTACTGTCTCAATTATGGAGTCTCATTATAACAGCATCCTAAGGGGTTACATTGTGGCACTACCTAAGAGGTAAAAGTGCTTCAACAGGGCTCTGTAGGCAACTCCATCACAAAACCCCACGGAATAGGATCACCTCCCACCAATCTTTTGCTAAGCACTACTCTCTGGTAAAGAGTACAGAAGTTTCAATGTTTTGATTTTTTTTTTCAGGTTGGCATGATACAAATGGCAGCACACAAAAACAATGTTAAAAAAATAAACCAAATAAAAGGCTGTACACAAGAACTTATGTTTATTGCAAACAAACAAACAAAAAAAAAAGGAAAGAGAAGAAAAGAGAAAATGGTCAGAAGCACAACATATAAGGTTAAGAATTTAAAAGCATCTTACATTCTGCCCTAATGGCAGCATAATTAATAGCAACAAACGGCCGTCTTGCTGCCTGCCGTAGCCGGAGGGTATTTTTGCAGACCTGGCGAGCAAATTTTGTGAAATATGTAGTATGAAGGAAGAAAGCTTGGCGGGTCTTCACTGCAGACTTTGGACTCCCAGTATTTCTAACTGGCATTCCCTGCATGGCCTGGCGGGATACGTGACTTCTAACACGAGGGTCCTGCAAAATCAGAAAACAACAAACACTCAAAGAAATGAACTTGCCCAAACGCATTACTGTTTGCATCACGCTCAAAAGAAAAGTGCAACTTTTAAATCTTTCATGAAGCATCTATAACATCACTTGGTGCACTACGTCTAAAAGAATTAAAGTGTGCACTTTTGGGAAAGAGGTGGGGAGTAGAGAAGGGAACTGTGGAGAACACTGTACTATTGTACAGGAATCCATAATAACATTAACAATAGGTAGTAAGAAACTGCCAAGGGGGGTTAACTACACTTTTTTTTTTTTTTTTTTTTTTTTTAAATTAAGGAGTCCTGAAAGCCTGTCAGCACTGAAAAAGAGTCGTCACCCACTGGTAAACACAGATGGTTGGCATCTTCAATCTATGAGGATTTTACCAAAATCACATTTAAACTGTTGTTCACCTCAAGATTCAGTCCATACTTCTTATCCCTCCAAAATAGCCACAGGGAGAAAAAATGCTCAATTTGCATTTATGACTTTATGTAGTAAGACACGCCTTCAACAGAATGTAAAGGTTACACAAACTGTTTTCAAAAGCAATTAAACATTTAATTTGTAAGCTCTCTACTTATGCTAACATCTCCCACATTCATTGTTTTTTTTTGTCTGAGACCATTATTCTGAATATCTGATAAAATTTAATTTCTCCCTGCTTCTCTCCACACCTACCCTGAATATTGTAGTGCTATGTTTACCTACAAAGGTAGCTTTCTTCATTTTTTAATTATCCTATACTGTACTTCTGTTTCCAAGGAATAATCAAGCCACTTAAAAACAGGACATTTTTCAACACTAAAAAGACTACTGTACCTCTGTAGTTGGGCTAGGAGATAACTTCTCTTCTTCTGACTGGGTGGGCATTTTCAAGCCTCCATATTTTTTCCAATAAAGCCAACAAATTGCACATAATCTACACTGCATATTAGGTGGGCCCCAGGAATACCACTGGTGAGACTGTGTAGCTAAAGCAGAAGAAAAACAAGAAAAATAAGAAAAAGGCTATTTAATTTGTAACATCAACACAAAATAATCAAATATTTAAAAAATACTTGTCATGCTTAGTTTACAATGTTATTGTTCCCAGCTTACAAGTCAAACATAATAGTATATTTGTGTTTTTTTAATACTCAGAATTCATTAAACCAACTTATTTCTATCATTATATAAAGTGCTTGTGGCCCTGTTAAAGCTATTAAGTGAAGCATCCTGTATTATGCATTTTGCTGCCAAGGGAGTTTTTGTTTTACTGATTAAAAATACTCTATTGTGTATGTTTCTGGAAATAGGTTCTCAAAAATATATTATTAGTAGTATTTTAAAAATCTGGGGCTGGGCGTGGTGGCTCTCGCCTGTAATCCCAGCACTTTGGGAGGCTGAGGCAGGTGGACCACGAGGTCAGGAGATCAAGACCATCCTGGCTAACATGGAAAATCCGTCTCTACTGAAAATCCAAAAAAAATTAGCTGGGCATGGTGGCACGCACCTGTAGTCCTAGTTACTCAGGAGGCTGAGGCAGGAGAACTGCCTGAACCTGGGAGGCAGAGGTTGCAGTGAGCTGAGATCATGCCACTGCACTCCAGCCTGGGCAACAGAGTGAGGCTCCATCTCAAAAGAAAAAAAGAAAAGAAAAAAAAAGAAAAGAAAAAAAAAAAAAAAAATATATATATATATATATATATAAAAAAAAATCCAGGTTTCCAAACCCAGGGTTGAGACACCACTCCAGGGATTATTTAAGGTACTCAGGGAGGTCCCATTGATAAAGTCAGGAATCTAATAAAAACAGGTATCTGTCAGCCAGGTGTGGTGGTAAACTCCTGTAGTCCCAGCCACTACAGAGGCTGAGGCAGCAGGATTGCTTGAGCCTGGGAGGTTGAGGCCACTGTGATTCCACCACTGCATTCCAGCCTGGGTGACAGAGGGAAGTGGGGAGGAGGAGGGGTTTGGGGAGGGGGAGAGGGATGGAGAAGGGGAGGAGAGAAGAAAGAAACAGGTATCTGTTTCACACTACTTTATTTTAATCAATAGGCAAAATCCTTATTTTAAAATCTCCATTTATGGACAGAATCCCTTTCAAGACTCTAAATCCATATGAAGCGAGCATGGGCAGATGACATCACAGCATGCTTGAGGCCTAAAACTCAGATGATTTAACAGCTAGCTGAACACTGCAAGCTTGTGTTAGTTTTTGTTTTGTAGTTTAAATTACTGACATGTGACATTTAAAATATACACGATAGATCTGAAGTTTAAGAGAAAACACTGAGGTTGAGATATTAACTGGGTGCATAAAAAATTGCAATTCTGTAGGTCTGCCTTAAAATATTATTTCTCTGACCTGTAAGTTACCTTTATCAGACTGTTCAAATGTTCAAACAGCACATCAAGATATCAACTAACACTTCACAAACCAATGTGAAAAAGAGAAAATACAGAGACCATTATATTCATGTTTATTGGGAATAACACTGTACACCCATCATGTATTATTTTTGGAGGATTATTATTTTAGGCTTTTATTTGTGTAAATATTTTAGGCCTGTTTTAGGCTTTTATTTATACAAATAAATATTTTATACAAATGAAAGCCTAAAAGCCTTTCCTCCTATAATTTAGAACTAATAAGTCATTAAGACACAAATTTTAAAAATCTTAAAACATTAAGCTATGAATCTATTTTGAATTCTAAATATAAAATTTCACTTAAAACATATGTTTTACGTAAACTAATCAATCCATGCACATCATTTTAATAACTGTCAATAAATGCCTTTCTCCTTAAATAACTCAAATTCAACTGGAAAGTAGGTATCATTTAATAAATAGAAAACATCAAGTTTTACCTCTCTATAAGGATAAATCTTACATTAAGATACATTTTATCATGGAGATTAGTAATACATGAGTCTAAAGTAAGTATTATAAAATAAAAATAGCTTACTCATCATGCACACACAAAAATAATAGAATAATCATTTAAGGGGATATACGTGAGTGTGAAAGGGGTTTGCAAGTTATTTATTTATTTATTTATTTATTTGGAGACGAAGTTTCACTCTGTCGCCCAGGTTGGAGTGCAATGGCGCAATCTCAGCTCACCGCAACCTCTGCCTCCCGGGTTCAAGCTATTCTCCTGTCTCAGCCTCCTGAGTAGCTGGGATTACAGGTGCACACCACCATGCCCGGCTAATTTTTTGTATTTTTAGTAGAGATGGGGTTTCATCACATTGGCCAGGCTGGTCTCGAACTCCTGACCTCAGGTGAATCATCTGCCTTGGCTTCGCAAAGTGCTGGGAGCCACAGCGCCCTGCCTGCAAGTTAAAATTAAGCCACTACCATTTGTCTGTAGGATTCTTTTTATTTTCATTTAAATATACACGAACTTCGAAATCCAAGAAATCCCAGTTCAAGGTATTTATGATGCTATCCATGTAAAAGCCTGACTAAAGAATTTTTTTCCACAAATTGTTTCCCTTTGTGCTCCCATGGTCAAAAAAATTGTTAAACACATCCCTATGTACCATTTCTATGAATTCAGCAACTTGGCTCACACCTTCCTTGGGATCAGTGGACGTAACTGTACTCATAGCTGTCCCTCATTTCTATGTCCTTCCTGGAGACAGTAGGCTACATGTACTCTCAAAGAGCTACTAAGAACCCAAAATGGGGCACCAAGTAGGTTTTCAGTAAACATTAGTTTCCTTCCCTCTCCCATCCCAGGCTACCTTAACTGGAAGGAAACAGATGATAATATCACCAATGCCCCATTAAGATATCGTATCCTTGCTTGAGATTTAAAAGAAACACATAAAGTCTATCAACTACCTAACAGTTCACTTCACCAACCCCATTTAACACCATGGGCAAATAAAATACTGCCAGCATAGATAAATACAGTGGGATCCTGAGGTCAAAAGCAAGTATCATAGAATAGCATTTCCCAAACTGGTGCGCTGAGGGAACAGCAGCTTATCCACACAGAGGCCTTTCCTACAGAATTACTTGGAGCTTTAATGTGTCAAAGTATACGGAGAAACTCCAAAAGGGGATTTGGTATGCATCGTGGGACCACAGCTTCTGCAAAGCTGATATGACTCTAAACACAACTCAGCAAACACTGCTATGAAATAATCAACAAACCATAAGAGTACATCAAAGGAACTCCAACGCCTAACTTGAGTGTGTGCTATGTAATAAGGATTCAACAAACAGTCCCTCTGTTCCAAGCCAAAGGTAAGGAGGGGCATCTGCTCATTTGGAGGAGACACACTTCTGCTTTCCAAGGTACACTGTACTGACCTCAGGCAAATCCCAGACGCTCACACCCCATGAGTCATAACAGTTCCTGATGCTTAACTGACCTGCTGGAGAAAACTTACCATAGCAGCTCTCACAGGCTCTCCCTAAAAGAGGATTCTGAGGCTGGAACGTGGTCCCCACAGCTCCATTCACAGCACCAGGCTTCCCATTACTAGTGGATATTTGGTTGGGATTTGGTTTGCTGCTTTCAATGAAATTAAAATAAGGTGATAAAATGATTTGTACAATAAGGCAAAAAGCTCTATATCATTACTGATTTACCTTCACTATTTAATAAACATAAACAAACATTTTAAAATGTGTGGTGAAGAAGAAATAAACTGGTAAAAGCAAGGTGTTAAAATGAACTCACACTACTCATCTTTATAAAACAAGTCTATGTAAAAAGGAATCGCTTACGCCTGACATTCATGAAGTAAATACTGTCCCATCTCTTTTCTGATCCGAATACAATTTTCTTAAAACATCCTCTGACACTTTTGAAAGAGACAAGTTACTGTTTATAAAGTCTCCCAAGAAAATAATTATTTGGATCAAACAAATTAACTGAAAGGCAACATGGCTGTTGTCACTGTCCAGTTTCTGCTGCTGGTGTGGGGGCTGCTGGCTACTGCACTCCAGCTCTCCAGGGAGATGCACAAAAGCCACACGCTTAGCAGATGCTGCGGGGTCAACAGGGTCCATCTCCAGGTTACTTAGGACTTCAGGAGCTTCTGGCCACTCATGATGACCACTCTTATTACATCTGAAATTTTATAAGGAATATTACATAGCATTTGAAATTTTAAAAACCAGTAAAGGTATTTGGAGGTTTTCCTTTTTAAGAGAGTATTTTTTTAAGAGGAGAAAAGAGAGGCGGGAGGATGACTTGAAGCCAGGAGTTCGGAGACCAGCCTGGGCAACACAGTGAGACTCTGTCTCTACAAAAACAAAAACAAACATTACCCAGGCATAGTGGCATGTGCCTGTAGTCCCAGCTATTCAGAAGGCTGGCGTGGGAGCATCAATCACTTGAGCCCAGGAGTTAGAGGCTACAGTGAGCCATGATCATGCCACTGTACTCCACTGCAGCCTGGGCAACAGAGGAAGACCCTTTCTTTTGGGGAGCAGGGAGGGGAAGAGACATCTACCATAAGTCGATATGCAAATTTCACAAAGACCAAGTCAGCAGAACCATTAATTCCTTAGAAACACGTAGCCCAGATTATCTTGGTATTTCCCAGGCAAACAAGGCTAACTTTTCCCCATGTATGATAGGCTAACTCTCCCACTGCTTATAAGCTGTGCCCAAGAACACTGCACAGATATACATAGTACGTTCTCAATAAATTCATAATTCCTTTAACGTATTCAGTGCCTAATAAATAAAAGTCTCTGACCTCAAGGTGCTTTCATTCTAAATGACTTTTTGTGTTTATTTGCTAGACAGAAAATAAGCAAAATGAATTAGTAAATTATTTATCGAAAATGAATGCTGAATGGCTAAATGCAGATTATATGCTGTCTTCCCGTATCTACTGACGCAACGAGACCTCACAACTATCAAGACAGCTGAAGTCAGAGTTGACTCAAGGTTTCCCACTTTCCACAATTCCATTCACCTGTTAAAGCCTGGTTTGTAAAGCTGGTCTGGCCTGACAGCAAAGACCCTAAGATTTCCTTTTGGTATTGTTATTACAACTATCAGGTGACACTCCCACCACTGCTACCAGAAGGAATCAGTTAACCACACTGTGTGCACTGAGGTCTCTATTCTATAAAATAGGACTATTATTTACACTTCTAACCTGTGTCAGCAATGTATGTTAAAGACAAATTGGTTTGTTTGTTTGTTTGAGACGAAGTCTCGCTCTTGTCACCCAGACTGGAGTGCAATGGTGTAATCCTGACTCACTGCAGCCTCCACCCCCAGGTTCAAGCGATTCTCCTGCCTCAGCCTCCTGAGTAGCTGGGACTACAGGCACCTGCCACCAATCCCGGCTAATTTTTATATTTTTAGTAGAGACGGTGTTTCACCATGTTGGCCAGGCTGTTCTCAAACTCCTGGCCTCAGGTGATCCGCCCGCCTCAGCCTCCCAAAGTGCTGGGATTACAGGCATGAGCCACCATGCCTGGCCTATTTATTTTGTTTGAGATGGCGTTTTACTCTTTCACCCAGGCTGGAATGAAGTGGCACGATCGCGGCTCACTGCAACCTCCGCCCCCCACAGGTTCAAGCGATTCTCCTGCCTCAGCCTCCCAAGTAGTTGGGATTACGGGCTCCCGCCACCATGCTCAGCTAATTTTTGTGTTTTTAGTAGAGACGGGGTTTCACCTTGTTGGCCAGGCTGGTCTCAAACTCCTGACCTCAGGTGATCCACCCACCTCGGTCTCTCAAAGTGCTGGGATTACAGGTGTGAGTCACTGTGCCCAGCCAACAAATTGGTTTTTAAAAGACATTTTTCTTTTTTTTGAGGCAGGGTCTCACTTTGTCACCCAGGCTGGTATGTAGTGGTGTGATCACCACTTACTGCAGTGTTGACCTCCTGGGCTCAGGTGATACTCCCACCTCACCTTCCCAAGTAGCTGGGACTGCAGGTGTGTGCCACCATGCCTGGCTCTTTTCTTTTCTTTTTTTTTTTTTTTGGTAGATACAGGGACTCTATGTTGCTCAGGCTGGTCTTGAATTTCTGGGTTCAAGGGATCACCCCACCTCAACAGGTGTGAGCCACCATGCCTGACCTTTAATTTTTTTTTTTTTTTTTTTTTGAGGCAGGGTCACCCAGGCTGGAGTGCAGTGGCATTACCATGGCTCACTGCAGCCTCAACCTCTCAGGCTCAGGTGATCCTCCCACCTCAGCCTCCCAAGTAGCTGGGACTACTGTCACACACCACCATGCCTGGTTATAAAATACATTTTTTAAAATGTATTATTTATTATCTGTCTATCTACTTAATTTTTTTAGAGACAGGATCTCACTCTGTTGCCCAGACTCCAGTGGCATGATCACAACTCACTGCAGCATCAAACCCCTGGGCTCAAACAATCCCCCCACCTCAGCCTTCCAAGTAACTGGGCCTACAGGCATTTGCCTCCATGTCTGGGTAATTTTAAAATTTTTTTGTAGAGATGAGGTCTCACTACTTTGTGCAGACTGATCTCAAACTCGTGGCCTCAAGCGATCTCCCTGCCTCAGCCTCCCAACCTGTTGGGTTTACAGGCATGAGCCACTGTACCTGGCCCTAAAACATATTAACATATTTTAAATCAGATAGAAGGTGTTTCTCTTCTTATAGTTTTCAGGTGAAACTACACTAAGTGAAAAGTGGCGATTTAGAATGACTAGCATTTTCAATAATATACAATATTCCTTTTTTTAAAAATCTACTATATATAGATAGAACTGATTTCCCCTTAGGGTCAAATGACTGGACAGAGGTTTCCCAGAAATATGAAAATTTCTGATATTTAACCCAGGGCTAAATATGTGTGTTGAAAAAGAGCTAACACAAATGTACAGTTAAGCTGCCTTAAAAAAGAATGAGAGCAAAGTTCATTGCTCAACTGAATCTAGAACGTTATTTGATTGAATACATCGCTTGTCTTAATGTTAATCACAAAAGGAAAACAAGTGTGCCAAGACTGCATACAGACATGTGAATCACATAAAATATGTTCTGCAAAACCAGGTACCTACAGATTAATTCCCAGGGGACAAATGATTGATGTCATTGTGACAATCTGTGACTGTAAGCAAACATTTTTAACGTTTTAAAAGACACATTATATGAAATTGCCCTTTCTTTTATCTGATGCTCAAATCTCCCCTCACTCCCCTCATCTGTGTTCCAGATTCCAGCCCTCCTGCCCTCTAGAGAACACTGTACACTCGCTCTCTCATCTGCTTGTACCTCCTTGGCTCATATGCAGCAGTGCTCACCATGCCAATAAGATCACCAATGATCTCCATGTTATTAAATTCCTTGGCTATTTCCCACCAGCATCCAACACTGTTAAATCTCTTTCCCCCTCCTTGAAACATACTCCTCTTTTAGCTTCTGTGATACCATACTCACCTAGCTATCCTTGTTTAGCTTATCATATTCTATCTGATCTATAAATACTGGATTTATTCAAGGCTAAGTCAAGGCCCTTTTCTTATTGCTCTCCCTCAGAAATCTTATCTATGGTTTCAAATATAATTACTGTATGCTGATGAAGCTCAAATATGTATCTCTAGTCCAGACTTTTCCACACTGAGTTTAAGACCAATACATCCAGTATTTGGTGACAGCATATTGAACAACTCTTTTCCGATAAACTCAGAATGACCTAACCTGATTCTCTGCCAGTTTCTGAGCTTAACAAATAGCATGGTAACCCACGTTACTGTGCCAGAAACCTAGGATTCACACTAGACACTCCCTACCTGCCATAAAAGTCAGCCACCTCCAAATATCACACCATTTCCAGAGTTACTACTCCAGGTCAAGCTAGTGTTATCTTTCCTCTCCAAGAACTTCATAACTGGTCCCCCTGCATCTACTCTTAGTCCTCTTCCTCAAACCATTTCCCAACATATAGCAGGTGATCTTAAAGTGCTAACCTGACCATGACTCTTCATTGTTTAAAATCAATTTCCACTATTTATGAGAACTCCCAGGTAACATAGGGAGACACTGTCTCTACAAAAAAATCAATTAGTCGGGTGTGGTGGTGCATGCCTGTAGTCCCAGCTACTTGGGGGTGCTGAGGTGGGAGGATCACTTGAGCCTGGGAGGTTGATGCTGCCGTGAGCCATGATTGCACCGTTGCACTTAAACCAAGGTGACAGAGCAAGACGACCCCATCTCACAAAACAAAACAAAAATAAAGCAAAATTTTATTCACAAAAACAAGCAGTAGGTCAGATTTGGCTTGAGACTATAGTTTATTGATCCCTGACTTAGATTACATTGACTGCAAGGTCAAAGTAAAGCCAAATGGAAACAATTATCTGGGTTACTTGGTCAAAACTAGTTAAATGTATTATTTCATGGTGGCAGCACTTTGAAGTATAAGAAAGCTGGTATGCTTGCTTTTGAAAATCTAAGACACACGAGTATTTTATTTGAGGAGTGGCTCTTTTATAAATTCATCATATAAAATATATGATTTAGAAGGAATTAGAAAACCACTCTGCAGATGGGCTATTACAATTCTTAATAAAAATTACAGACTCTAAAAATTACATGTTCTTAAAATCAAACCAGAGTTATCTGCCTTGAGGTAAAAGATCAATATGAAAGATCACCACTCATTGTCTATGAGGCCTCCTATATGTATATAAAAACATGTATTATACAAAATATCAAAATTCCAGACCAGAAACAAAAGGCTAGTTATTAAGCAACTGTAAATAGGTTGAAGAGGGAGAAAAGGCTTGGAGCAGCACATAGAATTGTGCAATAAATTTCATTTTAATCCTAAAAGAATCTAGGATAGAACAATATACATGTGGTGCTTCATAAACCAATTCTTCCTGAACAAATGAATAAGCAAACTCTGAAAATCTCAACAGAAGAATACAGCAATTTATATTTCTTTTAAATTTTTTGCAGAAACGAGGTCCCCCAAAGTGGTGGGATTATAGGCATGAGCTACCACGCCCAGCCTCATTTAAAACAAAGCAAATGAAAAAAAAATGGCATTCATTTTGGGACGACAATGATTTCTGAATTCAAAGTATAATAATGATAGAACACTAGACACACAAAAAAATCAAAACCTCTCCATTATTTATCACACATTTACCAAGTATGGTTCTAATTGCCATTAGAACCAAGAAAACAATGTAAAAATCCTCAAATAAACAACAAACCTCCAAAGAGCAGTATGCATTACCCAAACAAAATCTATAGTTTGAAAAGCTGCTAGCTTTCTGAAACACATTTGCTTCAAATAATACAGCGTTTCATAGGTTTTCTGACACTTTCCCTGCAGCTCTGATTTGATAAAAGTATAGTATATAGTACATTTCTTCCTCTCTTCTTTAGGTTAGACTATTTCAGGTTTCTCTCACTGGTTCCTTTTTATTGTACTGGTATAATAGTAAGTCTCATGCTTTGTAGAAGAAGGAAGATACACAAAAGTTCAAATTTTGCTGAAATTGAACAAAATGACATATTCTGCAATGACAAAATTAAGACCATAACAAATATTTTAAAAGATTTCAATTACTTACTAAGTTGGGATATATACTTGTTTCAGTTTACTCTCAGCTTCTGCTGCTTTTAGACGTTTCTAATTCAAAAGATGAATAAAACATTTTACATGCAATGCCTAATTATTACTATTGTTCATTGTCTTAAAAATTCACAAGAAAATATGTATTAAAGTGTAATTCAAAAATTACAATTTTAAGATAAGCTTTTCTTTCATATGCATATTCTTAAACTGCAATAATGTCTAAGAAAAGTCACTAGGTTCTGTGGTACAATACCATTTTAGGCATAGATTTTAAAAAATAAAGCAATGAGCAACTCCATTTTCCATTCCTCTATGAGTGAATAAACAGGAACTTTAAAAAGTAACCATTTTTACTTTTCAAATTTAGTTTCTACTTTACTACTTATCTGCCTTTCTAGAAGAAAACACACACACACACACACACACACATATACTCTCTCTCTCTCTGCTTTTAGAAAATTTTCAGAGATTATTTGTTTTCAAAATCCAGGCAAGAGGAGTGACTGTGGCTATTCTAAGTAGAACTAAATAAACATTTATTCTCAAATGTTGGGAGATACGCATTAAACTTTAAACCTCAGCTG